TTTATTATCATGCTGACTGAAACTGGCCTGTTTGGGATATTTGGCTGTTATCTCTCCTGATTTCTCTGAAGATCATATAACAACTCAATTTTGCTTTGATGACGTGGAACTTTAGTATGAGTGGCTCCATTCTGGGTTTTTATTCTGTTCTCTTGGGGCCCAGTGCAGGAGCAAAACAGTGGCCTCCTGAAATTTCTATTTAACGTGCTTTACTCTTATCAGAAGGACAAGATTGACCAGGGTTGGTTCAACCATAGCATGAGCTAATTATGGAAAAAGAACTTTGATTTTACTTGTTTTGTAATAACAGCGAACGTATTTACTAAGTCGGCATTCCCTTTCATGATTATCATATGAAGGAGGAAATTGGGGCACACGGGTTACATAACTTACCCTGAGGTCATGCAGCTGGTGGGGGAAGCCTGGGCTGCATGTAGACAGGCAGTTCTAGAGTCTGAGTTCATTGTGCCACTCAGGTTGGCTGGAGGAGGGAAAAGGCATCTTCCTTCCATTTCTCCTTGTGTTGAAGCCATTGCTGCAACCCAAGCAAGATAGGTTAAGGGAATCAACTCAGTTATGCAGGTGGAAGTAGAGGAAATGGCACCAGTGACAACATAGCTAGGAAATGTATATTTAGGCTAATGTAAAATGTATATTTAGGAAAAGCAAGATAACATTTAGTATGTGAGAGGTACCTGAGATGATCCTATGTCCCCACAGAGGGTACTTCCTGAAGTATTTCCATGAGTTGCTTCAGGAGTGGGCTGGTGGGGCAGCGGGAGGAGCTGAAGGGGGTAGAAGGGAGAGTATATATGTGATTCAGATATGTATTTCTGACTTGAAGTGAACTATGCTGGAAAACAGACACAACTATAGTAAAGAAGAGTTACTCAATTCCTTTTTACCCCCTTGTACAGTCACTCATTAAAAGATAAGAAATTCGGCCAGGCACGGTGGCTCACACCTGTAATCCCAGCACTTTGGGAGGCAGAGGCAGGCAGATCACTTGAGGCCAGGAGTTTGAGACCTGCCTGGCCAACATGGTAAAACCCCATCTCTACGAAATATTTTAAAAAATTAGTCGTGCAGCATGGCACGCACCTGTAATCCCAGCTACTTGGGAGGCTGAGGCGGGAGGATGGGAGGATCACTTTGAGTTCAGGAGGTCGAGGCTGCAGTGAGCTGAGATTGTGCCACTGCACTCTAGCCTGAGTGCAGTGACATCTGACATCAGGGACTGCTGATAAGTTACTAAAAATAAAAAAGAAAAAAACAAAGAAAAAAGAAAAGAAAAAGAAATTCTGTTTAGGAAACCTTGAATATGATTGAGGTGACAAAACCTTTGGGAATGAGGAGAAAAGGAGCTGTGGAGATAAAAGTGAAAGTTCGGGATCTCAGAGAACCTAAGGAACTTTGGTAGATGAGAAATAGGATAATTGGAAGAGTATCTGAGAGAAAGAAAGAGATTAAGCAAACAGAGGATTGTGGTCAACATCATGCCAGGGAAACATGAAGAGCAAGGTTTTGAGTAACCATGCTGTAATTACTTTCTGAAACATTGTAGTCTCCACAGTGTGCTTAGGGGGCAATATTTACAAACCTACGGGCTGATGTTAAAATAGTTTTGTGCTCAGGTAGCATGTCTCCTACAGAGACAGGGGGCAGGAGACAAGCCTGAGTTGTAAGGGTAATTAGAATCAGCAAGAAAAAGAATGGAAGAAGAAAGTTGGTGTGCGGGGAGAGGAATTTATTTTAACTTCTCCATCAAGTGTGTTCTGCTATAGGCACAGCACAGGCTGTGGGCACAGCACCCTCTAGTGTCTGGGAGAGTCACTGCAGCTTTGCGGTGTGGTAGGAGCACAGTTGTTCAGCTCCGTTAACTTGAACAAATATTTACAGTCGTGTTCTCTCTAGTGACCCAGGGCCTACTTGGTGTGCCTGACTGTTGTTCTAAGCTTTAGTCTTACCACCTCTCCACCTCCAAATGGGGCGTTCAGGCCTGGCCTGGCTTTAGGCAAGGCTATGAATTGTATGCTGTGGAACTGTCTTTCAATGTCTGAATTTGCCTACTAGTGCCTTTAGCAGGGAGGGTGGGGTGCTCTGCCATGTTTGAAATAAAGGCCTTAGTCTTTAGTTTCAATTTAACCTGCAGTTTAAGATTTCACGCAGTATAATGCAGCCAAAAAATGAATGAGATCATGTCTTTTGCAGGGACATGGATGAAGCTGGAAGCCATCATTCTCAGCAAACTAATGCAGGAACAGAAAACCAAATACCACATGTTCTCACTCATAAGTGGGAGTTGAAGATTGAGATCACATCCACACAGGGAGGGGAACATCACACACCGGGGCCTGTCGGGGGGTTGGGGGCAAGGGGAGGGCATCAGGACAAATACCTAATGCATGTGGGGCTTCAAACCTAGATGACGGGTTGATAGGTGCAGCAAAGCAGCATGGCACGTGTATACTGATGTAACAAACCTGCAGGTTCAGCACATGTATCCCAGAACTTAAAGTGGCAAAAAAATTCAAGTGGTATAACAGAAGCATCACTTTGCACAGTGGTCCCTGATGTCTGATGTGGCACCAGCAACGACTTTGAGGAATATTTTGGTGACAATCAGCTATCTTGAGGTGGCTATTTCTAGACTGATTACCTCCTTTCCTCTCATCCTCCCTCCCTTGCTTCCTTCCTTCCTTCTTCCCTCCCTCCCTCCCTCCCTTCCTTCCCTCGTTCCTTCCTTCCTTCCCTCCCACCCTCCCTCCCTCCCTCCCTCCCTCCCTCCCTCCCTCCTTCCTTCCTTCCTTCCTTCCTTCCTTCCTTCCTTCCTTCCAATGTAGCCAGTCTAAATTATTAAGAGATTAAAAAACTCCCTTAAGCCTTTTTGCCCCCATCAGGCTGCTTTAGATGCAGCTCCACCATTTGCTACCTTAGTGTTACCATGGGCGGGTTCCTCAGTCTCATCACATGGAAAAGGGAAATAGTAGGATGTACCATGTAGTTTTTTTGCGAGTATTAAGTGAGGTAATGCCTGTAAAGCACACAGTACCTGACACAAAGAAGCCATTGAGCAATGTCAGCTAGGCAGCAATAGCATTAAAGCTTTGAGCTTTGTTTCCCTGGAGAAGAGGTTCAGATTAGCACTGAGCCTCTTCAACAGAAAGGGCTGGTAACTTGAGATGAGTGAAAACCTCTGACCTTCCTTGGAAACACTATTTTGGATAGTGGTTATTTAACAAGTACAAACACTTGAGTTTGGGGCCAAGCACTGTGCCTGGTGCTAAAGAGACGGAAGGCATGGTCTTTGACTTCAAGGCGTTTATGATCTTGTTAGGAAAAACAAAAGCCACGGACCACTAAGCGCAGTGCTGGTGCCGAGCAGCATGTGTCTGGTGCCCGTGGTGTGGTTTCATGCAGTGGGGCTGCCTGTAAAAGCAGCTAGATAAGCGCTTTTGGGGGAGGTAAGTTTGGAACAGTGCCTCGTCCCAGAGCTTGCTTCATGGGGCCCAGCTCTGACATTCTCATCACTTGTTTGGCAGCTCTTTGCACCACCCCTGAAGGAGAAAAGACAGTGGAAGCAGGCTTCATGCACTCTCTGGTAGCATGACCTTGACCAAGTTATTTAACTTCCCAGCTCCGGGTTTCTCATGAACAAACTAAGTGCTATGGCGAGGATAGAGTCCAGCCCACTGCCTGGCACATGGCAGGTGCTGAACGTTTCCATCTCTCTCTCTCTCTCTTTTTCTTGTTTTTGAGATGGAATCTCGCCCTGTCACCCAGGCTGGAGTGCAGTGGCACAATCTTGGCTCACTGCCATCTCCATCTCCTGGGTTCAAGCAATTCTCCTGCCTCAGCCTCCTGAGTAGCTGAGACTACAGGCATGTGCCACCACGCCCAGCTAATTTTTATCTTTTTGATAGAGATGGGTGTCACCATGTTGGCCAGGCTGGTCTCAAACTCCTGATCTCAAGTGATCCGCCCGCATCAGCCTCCCAAAGTGTTGGGATTACAGGCATGAGCCACTGCACCCTCTTTTCTTGATTACCTTAAAATAATAAAATGAACACTTGGATTTGGCCACTTAGTGTCCTTCCTTGTCACTAGAACTTTCCTAGCCCGTTGGCAATGAGGAAAGAAGGCTTAGTAAATCAACACTACTACTACTACTGCTGCTACTGCTATTACTACTAGCTGTGAACACCAGAATAGCTCAGATTGCTTTTGAACCTGTGAGAGGGGCCAAAATCCAGGTCTTATGTGTTCCCAAGGGGCCCCTAAAATGCCACATGGGAATTTTAGGGAAAGAGGACCAGGTATCAGTCTCTGTGCTGATGGGAAGGAAAGAGGTTGGCAGCACAGACACTTTCTCCTACCTGTCTAGAGGGGAACACCCTCACGTTCAACTGTGGGAAACGCCTGCATCCTTTCCCTGGGGAGTTCGTCAGACCAAACCAATCTGTATCTAAGAACATGTTTCTCCAGGAAGGCGGGATCTGACATGGATGGCAGATCTAGAGACCCAAAGATCCCTTCTGCCTAGAGTTACGTGGAGTGTGCTTTTTCCTTAGTCCTGGCGAAGTTGCACCAGTGGGTGGGATGAGGTCAGCAATTAGTCAGCTCTTCCTCGGCTAGGATTGTGCCTTCGCTTTGTAGGCTGTTTCCCAGGGAGGGAACCCAGCGTCAGCACTTTATCTCATCCTGTGACATGTCACTAGTGACAAGTGTGGTCCTCTGTATGCTTTGTGAGTGTGCTGGCCATGCCGTTGTTGGGTCGGTCACTGTGTTATGTAGACAAGTGAAGAAGGGCTAGGCAGGTGTGCGCAGCGTGCCATTTAGCGTATCCCCTCAGGCATGCACCCAGGAGCAGTGTGGTCTGAGCTTGTGTTAATTCTAAGAAGAAATAAACTAATGATGAAACTTTAGTTTGTAATGGAAAATGTTCATAAGGTAAAGTTATTATACATGTTAAATGATTTTTTCAATTTTGTTTGTTTTAGGAGAACTATCCCATCCCTGAACCAGGCCCAAATGGTAAGTTCTTGGGAAACATAACTTATATTTTATTATTTCCTGTTGTTTCCTTTGGAATCACATGTATATTGTTCCCTTTCCTCTCTTTTCCTACTGTTTATTACTTTTGCGTCCATTAAAAACCTATGCTTTTGTTAGGCTGAGAACAGAGTCTACCGTCCGCAGCATGACCTGGTGGGAGGTTTATCTTGGCTGCTACATGAAATAAAAAGAATAGTGACAGAATCAGAAAAATTACCGTACCAGACTGCTGACTCATCCCAAAGAGTTTTTGATGTGAAGTATATGGACCAGTGACAGAATTGTTCCTCTTTTGACCTAATGACAGTGTACCCTATCTACCAGAAGCTGCTGTTGGAGTGGCCAAGTGTCCTAACCCTAACCCAAACTTTGAAAAGGAGTGAGTCTACAGAACTTCATCTTTTAATTAGCAAAGGGAGCATCATGCCAGCTTTCCCCACTCCCCAGGAAGGCCAGTCACCAAAGTGTGCGGCAGCCCAGGACCTTCTGTCCAGTGGGGGTGGGAGGGGCTGCATGGGGCCCTGTCCTCTGCTCTAATCAACCAAGCACAGAAAGTGAGTGAGCACATGGGGCCAGGGTTTCCAACACCTTTACTCCGCTCCTTCCAGGCCTCTCACTTGCTAAGCCTGTGGGGCTCAGCTGACATGCTGACGCCCAAGGTGGCATCTGTAACTTCCCAGCCTTGGGTTTCTCATTTACAAACTGAGTGCTGTGGTGAGGATAGAGTCCAGCCCACTGTCTGCACATGGTGGGTGCTGTGAACATTTCCATCTCTTTTTTTCTGTTGGCTCAGATCCCTGCTGACAGTTGTCTAATCCCTCCCATCCCTGGAATCCCACTTTGTCATAATCATGCAGGACCCTGAAGTGAGGCTGGGGGCATTGGGCAGAGTGTCTGTAGATACTCACTCTCCCCCTCTCACACCTAGACAGTCACATCCCCTTTCTACCCTTGAGAAGTTGGGGGCAGTGGGCAGAGTGTCTGTAGATACTCACCCTCCCCTTCTCACACCTAGACAGTCACGTCCCCTTTCTACCCTTGAGAAGTTGGGGGTGTCCTTTCCCACTTTGTCCTACCTCACACCGGAACCGCAGCTTCTGGGTGAACATCAGATCGAAGGCAGCTTTCCTGGTGGATCCAGAGCTTTGCTTCTGAAAGGTCACTTGTGTTATCCACTTGTAAGTGGTGAGAATACAGACTAGACAGAATATAGCCATTCTATGGGTGCTGAGCAAGTATTGTATAGTCAGGGTTCAAGGATTTTCACCAAGATCCATGTTCAGAGAAGTGAAAGAGTTACCTCACTGTGTCCTGAAAAGTTGACTGTTGATTCCAGAAGTGGCCGAACGAGGGCTGTCTTGGACCCAGAGTACAAGCTTGGCTCCTGGTACGGCTTTTCTCCCTGAAGCAGCATTCTGCTCACACTCTTGTCTCTTGCTACACTTGCATCGGAAGGGAAAAGAGTGCATTTTAGCGAGTGTTCTAGCAAAGTCAAATCTAATCTCTCGCTACCAGTTGCTACTTCAAGAGAGGAAATTCTGAGATGATTTTCCTAACTCAAATGACTTTTCCCTGCCTTTGATCTGAGAATTCACCCTGCCATTTCTTACTCTCTTCACTAAAACTAAGGAGGAAGAAAGTTCTGAAGAGCCACCCCAGTAGTCTGTGGCAAGTGCACTGCATAGCAGAGATTCGGGTCTCTTTGTCTTTCTAAGGCAGAGTGTTTTTTTCAGGGAGGTATTCATAACCGTCGTCTCAGTCAGAGATGACGGTATTTATTGGTACTTATTTCACCAAAGGGGCACAGTACCATCATTATTTTGAACTTAGAAAACTGGCCAGGCGCGGTGGCTCATGCCTGTAATCCCAGCACTTTGGGAGGCTGAGACAGGTGGATCACCTGAGGTCATGAGTTCGAGACCAGCCTGGCCAACATGGCGAGACCCTGTCTCTACTAAAAATACAAAAATTAGCTGGATATGGTGGCATATACCTGTAATCTCAGCTACTTGGGAGGCTGAGGCAGCAGAATTGCTTGAACCCGGGAGGCAGAGATTGCGGTGAGACGAGATCCTGCCATTGCACTCCAGTCTGGGCAACAGAGGGAGACTCTGTCTCAAAAAAAAAAAAAAAAAGTAAAAGAAAAAGAAAAAAAAAGGAAAGAAAACAATAGGCATGAAGAACTCAATAGTTCACAAAATGTTGCCAAGCTGAGATTCTACCAGACTTGTTCTCATAAACAAGTAAGAATCATGCATAGCATATTAATTATCTAGAAAGTTTTCTTTTGGAAAATAGTTTGTTCTCTTAAGTGGTTGGTACATTTCATGCTACTAATAATATCTTTTCTATCCAGTGTATTGGTCAGTGTTGTCCAGAAAAACAAAACCACTAAGATATATGTGTGTGTATATATGTGTGTGTGTGTACAAAGGGCAGGCTGGAAATTCAGGTAAGAGTTGATGTTGCAGTCTTGAGAAGAGTTCCTTCTCCTTCAGGAAACCTCAGTCTTTGCTTTTAAGACCTTCAAACTGATCGGATGAGGCTCACCTACATTATGGAGGGTAATCTACTTTACTCAAAGTCTATTGGTTTAAAAGCTAACCATGCCCAACATGTATCTTCAAACAACCAGGCATTATAGCCTAGCCAAGTGGACACATAAAATTAGCCATCTCATGTGGAAGCTTGTTTGCCTTGCGAGACTTAATCAGGGTTGCTATGTAGCTTGTTTTCCTCTATGGCCTAAATAGTGTGCCTGGCCTGGTAACCCAGCCCTCTCCCCTGGGCAGAGGGAAATCACTAGGGCACCTCAGAGTGATAGGGGTTGTTCCTTCTCTCACTGTTTTTTTCTTCCTTTCTTTTATCAGAGGTGTTGCTGAGGATGCATTCTGTTGGAATCTGTGGCTCAGATGTCCACTACTGGGAGGAGGGTCGAATTGGGAATTTTATCGTGAAAAAGCCCATGGTGCTGGGACATGAAGCTTCAGGAACGGTCGAAAAAGTGGGATCATTGGTAAAGCACCTAAAACCAGGTCAGCAAGGTCCTTTGACTTATGTGTTCATTCAACATAAACATATGTGCATGCTTTCTTTGGGCCAGACCCTCTGTTAAGCTCTGGATACAGCAGGGAACAAGAGAGTTTTGGTCCATACTCACATGGATCTTACCTTACACAAGAAAAGAGGGACCTGGAGCAGAGAGATAGTTACTTAGTCACCATGTGTTAAGGGTGGTAGAGGAGAATGCACATTGTGACTCGTGTCTTTTATCCAGACCCTTGGTTCATTTGAGGAAGGGACAATTAATCCAACATCTGGAGCCAAGTAAGAAATAAGCCAGGTAAAGGGCTGGAGAAAACATTTGAGGCATAGGAACCCAAACCACCTTTAGGTGCTGTGAACCAGGGCCTTGGATATGATGTTTGATTTTTATTAGATGGCTGGGAAACCACCATTATTCTTCCTAGATTTACTTAATTCATCTTCCCAGAGGGAGGAATTCTCAGCTGTGGCAGCCTGTGTTGTTCCCTGATACCATGAATTAAATCCAAGTTGTCTTGGCATAGTTAGCTGTTGGCTTTAACCTTCCTTTACCAGTGAGGCTGCTGTGCAGCCAGGAAATAAGGTCACATTATTTGGGGGAAGGTGGAGGTTGACAGGAGGCACCATCCTGTGTTGGTTATAAAGCTCTCTGAGCCCAGCCACATGCAGAGGGATTGGCCAGCTGTGAAGAAGTCAGGCATGTGTCTTATTTAGGGATGTTAAATCATTCATCATTAGTGGAAGTCAAGAAAGCTCCTGTGGTGTTATGAGGTTATTTCATAGTGGAATGTTTATAGCTTCCAATAGCCACTGGTGATTGGTTCTCACCTGTGGGACAAAGTCTCTGACTATAAATTATAACAAAGGGTGGGTTTCTCTAAATGTAAATTATAACAAGGGTTTAGTCAGTTTTCTACAATGAGCTCAGTCTTATGCCACGAGCCTTGAGGGATATAGAAAAATGAGCAGATATGATCCCTGGATGCTTAGATCGATGTGGAAACACTAGATGTCGGGCCCTACATAAATACCAGCAATTAGACAGCAAGCCCATAGGATACAATTAGGTGTGGGAAAGAACAGGCTTTAGGAGTTCAAAGGGCATTTGCTGTGGGCAAAGGTGGTTAAAGAGTTCATGGAGGAGATAGGTCTTTGACCTAGACATCTAACAGTAGTAACATTAATAAGAAGGTAGCTAATATTTATTGATTTGCTACATTAGTCTCCGTGTTAAACACTTAGATGTACAATTCTTTCTTTCTTTCTTTTTTTTTTTTTTTTTTTTTTTGAGACGGAGTCTTACTCTGTCACCCAGGCTGGAGTGCAGTGGTGCAATCTCACCTTGCTGCAACCTCCACCTCCTGGTTCAAGTGATTCCCATGCCTCAGCCTCCTGAGTAGCTGGGATTAGACATGCACCACCACGCCTGGCTAATTTTTGTATTTTTGGTAGAGATGGGGCTTCACCATGTTGGCCAGGCTGGTCTTGAACTCCTGACCTCAAGTGATCTGCCCACCTTGGCAGTAATTTGGGTAACTTGCTGTAATTATGGGTCTGAGCCACTGCGCCTGGGCTATTTATTTCATTCTTGAAACAACTCTATGAGATAGGCATTATTATCTTCATTAGTTGAAGAAGAAATTGAAGCCTGATTATTGCCCAGGGTCATTCACTAGTTTGTCTCAGAGCTGGGATGCCCATCCTGGTCTTTTGGACTCTAGAGCAAGTTCTCGGAACCACTGGGCTACCCAGCATCTTCATACTTGAGAAAGTTTTTATATTTGAGTTCTTGAAGAGGTCAGAGCTAATATTCTAGTTAAGAGGAAGCGAACAGGCTGGGTGCGGTGGCTCATGCCTGTAGTCCCGGCACTTTGGGAAGCTGCGGTGGGCAGATCTCTTGAGGTGAGGGGTTTGAGACCAGCCTGGCCGATATGGTGAAACTCTGTCTAAAAATAGAAAAATTAGCTGGATGTGGTGGCACGCACCTGTAGTCCCAGCTACTTGGGAGGCTGAGCCAGGAGAATTGCCTGAACCCAGGAGGTGGAGGTTGCAGTGAGCTGAGATCGTGCCACTGCATGCCGGCTTTCCAGCCTTGGTGAGAGACAGAGCGAGACTCCATCTCAAAAAAAAAAGAGGAAGTGCACAATCAAATTACAGATGCGAGAGTAACACATCTGAGTGCGGATAAGTCTGTGCTGCTCAGGGCAGAGGTTTTGTGTTGGGGAGTTATTGGAGATGATAAACATGCGTAATCTTTATAAAAGTCCCTCTTTAAAAAGCATTTGGCTGGGCATGGTGGCTTACACCTGTGATCTCAGCACTTTGGGAGGCCGAGGCAGAAGGATTGCTTGAGCTCAGGAGTTTGAGACCAGCATGAGCAACAGAGGTTGACCCTGTCTCTGTGAAAAATAAAATTAGCTGGGTGTGGTCGTGCGCACTTGTAGTTCCAGCTACTCGGGTGGCTGAGACAGAAGGATCACTTAACCCCAGGAGGTTGAGTTTGCAGTGAGCCATGATTGCACCACTGCACTCCAACTTGGGTGACAAAGCAAAACCCTGTCTCAAAAAATAAAATAAAATAAAGCACTGTAAAACTGTGAAATGTCATGTTATCATAATATAATCATAATTAGAAGGTAAAACTGAATAGTATGAAAACTCCACCTGATTATAGAGGATCTTGAAGGCTAGGTGGAAGAATTCATCCTTAATGGCATAGGCATAACTTGCAGAAAGTTAACTGTACAGGAAAGAAAGTAGAGGGAGTCAGAGGAGATAGAAGGAAGAGACAAATACAGACATTTTATTTTTTTGAGACGAAGTCTCAGTCTGTCGTCCAGGCTGGAGTATAGTGGCACCATCTCGGCTCACTGCAACCTCTGCCTCCCAGGGTCAAGTGATTCTTGTGCCTCAGCCTCCTGAGTAGCCAGGATTACAGGCACACACCACCACGCCTGGCTAATTTTTGTATTTTTAATAGAGACTGGGTTTCACTATGTTTGCCAAGCTGGTCTCAAACTCCTGACCTCAGGTGATCAGCCCTCCTTGGCCTTCCAGAGTGCTGGGATCACATAGGCATAAACCACCGTGCCAGCAAAATATAGACAGATTTTGGTGCTCATAAGGATTTCTGTGGGTCCTTTTCTTTTCTTAGGATACAAAATTTGGATTTAAAGTCTTTCATATGTTAACTTTGACTTAAAATTCTAATCAACAAATCTAGAAAGAAGACCACAACTCATCAAATATTTCCTAATGTTCATTTACAGAATTTAAACATATAAGTCAGCCGGGCGCAGTAGCGCATGCCTATAATCCTAGCACTTTGGGAGGCCGATGTGGGCGGATCACTTGAGGTCAGGAGTTCAAGATCAGCCTGGCCAACATGGTGAAACCCCATCTCTACTAAAAATACAAAAATTAGCCAGACGTGGTGGTGTGCATCTGTAATCCCAGCTATTCAGGAGGCTGGGGCAGGAGAATTTTGTGAACTCGGGAAGTGGAGGTTTCAGTGAGCTGAGATCATGCTACTGCACTCCAGCTTGGGCGACAGAGCAAGACTCTGCCTCAAATAAATAAATAAACAAACAAACAAATAGATAAACATACATATGAGTCAGTAACTCTAAGGCATGGAAGCATTCCTATGTTTTTTAAGACTAGACTAGTCAAGTGCAGTAGTGAGAAGCGAGGAAAGAGTAGAACAAGGCGTATTATCTGTAACTGACTGTGAACAATCAATTAAGATGACGCACTACCTTCAGCCCAGCCTTCACCACTTATTTTAATGAGCACTAACTATGTACCAGGACTCTACACTGTTCTGTGAGTACTTTCAACACAAAAAGACTTAGGAAAAATAACTTACCATGTCCCTGCTGAATAAAGGCCAGACCTTCCATGGCCTCAGTAGGCCTCACAAGGTTCTAACATCCTCTTCAGGCTCCGGAGGGCCCGAGCACTCATATAGAGGTGAGCGAACAGTCAAGTCTCCACAGCTTATCACTGTGTGAGCACCTGAGCTTCTGTTTCCTCATCGCTAAAGCAGAGATAACACCATCTTGTTGGTTTATGGTGAGGGAAGGGAGATTTTGTGATGTGCCTTTCCTGGTACCTGGCACACAATGGGCATCTGGTAAATGGCAGGACTGGATCCCACCATTATTAGTAAACTCTATTCTGTGTGGTAGGTGTAAGCACCTCTTCCCAGTGGAGTCTGTCCGTCCGACTTTTCCCGAATAACCAGGTACTGAGGCAGGATAAGGCCTGTGGGTCCTTTCCTGGGCTCCTGCCACATGGCTTCCTGCCTCACTGGCGTTCAGCCGTGTTGGTCTCCAGCTTGTCCTGGGCTCAGGCAGGAGGGTCCGCCAGGGTTTCCAGTCTTGTCTCTGATTCGCTGGTATGGGTCACTCCCCAAATTCAGACGGAGTTTAAATCCAATTGTAACTTTGATGTGTAGCAATACCTGTGATATTAAAATCCCCTGTAAGTCTGCTTTCTGTTTTCTGCAAACTTGGAGGCCATTGCTATATTGACAGCGTATTTGGAGTTCCCCTACATAGGGCTGGGTACCTGCCTGAAGATAAACCATCTAAACCATCCCAAACCCTCGGGATAACTATTTGTCCTCAATTATTCCTACCTCTCTCCCTTTCTTTACAACAGAAAAGTGCTACTGTCTTTAACCAACAGCTTTTACTTGTCACATTCCAGGGAATTTTTTCCCAATAAGTAATGCCCTTCTAGATATAAATGACGTTTGTGTCCCATGGTTTGTTTTCTCCCAATTCACAAATTCTATGTTTAGCAATAAAAATTTGTCTAGCACAACACTAGACACTATGGAAAAATAAATATGGAGCAGAAGACTGACTAATCCTGAGGCATTCCCATCCTTGATGAGGAGGCAAGATAGTCATGAAAAACAACTAGAGATGGACGTGGTGGCTTACACCTGTAATCCCAGCACTTTGGGAGGCCAAGGCCGGAG